AGATGCTGATTTTAGAAACTTTCAAAATAAAGTTCGGACTGTCGGTATCCGTGGTTGCTATGGAAACCAGATGATGTGGTAGTGGCTGGTGATCCTGTGTGGGCCGGATCGGAACCGATCGGATCGGAACCGATCGGATCGGAACCGATCGGATCGGAACCGAACGGATCGGAACCGAACAAATTGGATCGGAACCGATCGGATCGGAACCGAACGGATCGGAACCGAACAAATTGGATCGGAACCGAGCGGATCGGTTCCGATCCGTCCCAGACCTCATCCTCTGCCTGCCGTTCCTCTCCAGCTCCATGGACTCGTCCTCATGATGTTCGGTTCCCGGTTCTTCCCCTGCCGGCTCCGGACCCGCCCTCTGCTCCGCCGCCCGCTCTCCGGGTTCCGGTCCGCCGGCGGCCCGGCGCCGTGCCGGGGGCTCGCCGCCGAGGGCCACACCCTGCAGCCCGTGATCGGCCCGGACTCCGTGGAGCTGCTGGGACGCTCCTACCCCCGCGACCACTTCACCAACGTCACGCCGAAGATCCTGGCCAAGGTGGGCTTCCACCTGCACAACCAGCCGAACCACCCGCTGTGGCTCGTCAAGGAGCGCATCAAAGCCCACTTCTACAGGTGAGGGCGCCGAGCCGAGGCCCACCTGCCCGGCAGACCGCAGTCTGCAGGAAACGCCTTGAACAATCGGTTTGGTAGAACGAGCTAAAGTTAGCGGCGGTCAGCCAACATCAGTGTCTGACCTCTGACCATGAGAAATGACTGGAAACTGCTGCAGAAAACGCCAGAGGAAGATGTTAAAGGGGCGGCGACGTGTTTTCCAAGCGGAGTCAGGAAACAGTTAAAATTTTATTGATCCCGATCATCCCAGTTCTGATTGGTTCATAGCTGCAGCCTCCATCTTGGTTCCTCTGCAGCTCCTTCGTCGGTCGCTGGGGCAACCCGCTGTTCTCCGTCCACGACAACCTGAGTCCAGTGGTGACGGTGGAGCAGAACTTTGACAGGTCAGAGGCTCCCTGATGCACCGACCGGGTCGGGTCTGGTTCTGGGTCTGGTTCTGGTTCTGGTTCTGGTTCTGGGTCTGGTTCTGGTTCTGGTTCTGGTTCTGGTTCTGGGTCTGGTTCTGGTTCTGGTTCTGGGTCTGGTTCTGGTTCTGGTTCTGGGTCTGGGTCTGGTTCTGGGTCTGGTTCTGGGTCTGGGTCTGGTTCTGGGTCTGGTTCTGGTTCTGGTTCTGGGTCTGGTTCTGGTTCTGGGTCTGGTTCTGGTTCTGGTCCTGGTTCTGGTTCTGGTTCTGGTTCTGGTTCTGGTTCTGGTTCTCCACATCGACTCCACTGAGACTGAAGCTGGTTACATGTTTCTGCTAGAAAAGAGGATGAATGAGGGAAGCTGGGTTCAGAACCGGTCCAGACCCGGTTCCGACCCGGTTCAAACTCGGTTCAGACCCGGTTCAGACCAGGTTCAGACCCGGTTCAGACCCGGTCCAGACCTAGTTCCGACCCGGTTCAGACCCGGTTCAGACCCGGTCCAGACCCAGTCCAGACCCGGTTCCGACCCGGTTCAGACCCGGTCCAGACCTAGTTCCGACCCGGTTCAGACCCGTTTCAGACCCGGTCCAAACCCGGTCCAGACCCGGTTCAGACCCGGTCCAGACCAGGTCCAGACCCGGTCCAGACCCGGTCCAGACCCGGTTCAGACCCGGTCCAGACCTGGTTCCGACCCGGTCCAGACCCGGTTCCGACCCGGTCCTCTCTCTCTCTGTCCTGCAGCCTGCTGATTCCTCCTGATCACCCCAGCAGGAAGCGCGGCGATAATTACTACCTGAACAGGTGAGCTGCTCCCTCGGTGCCACGCTGACCCTCACTGGTTCTGACCCGTTCGTCCTGCTGCCTCCAGAACCACCATGCTGCGGGCCCACACCTCGGCCCACCAGAGGGACCTGGTCCGGTCCGGTCTGGACGCCTTCCTGCTGGCCGGAGACGTGTACCGGCGGGACGAGGTCGACGCCAGCCACTACCCGGTCTTCCACCAGATGGAGGGGGTCCGCCTCTTCTCCGACCACGAGGTTCTGACGGCGCCGTGCGGCCGAGCGGACCGGGCCGCGGCAGAACCTCTGACTGTGTGTTCTGCAGCTGTTCTCCAGGGTCCGCGGCGGGGAAGAGCTGAGCCTGTTCGAGCGCGGCGGGCGCCGGACCGCCCAGAAGCAGGAGAGCCACAGCCTGGAGGCCGTCAAGCTGGTGGAGTTCGACCTGAAGACCACCCTGACCCGACTCGTCACACACCTGTTTGGACCAGGTGAGGCCGGACCGGATCAGCCGGACCGCTGAGTTCCTCTACAGCTTCCTCACCCTGGTTTTCCTCCCCACAGACGTGGAGGTCAGGTGGGTCGACTGCTACTTCCCCTTCACTCACCCCTCCTTTGAGATGGAGGTGCGTTTCCAGGGCGACTGGATGGAGGTGCTGGGCTGCGGCGTGATGGAGCAGGAGCTGCTGCTGTCGGTCAGAACCAACCAACACCATGCACACTACCCACTGTTCAGATCACCAGTAGAACCTCATCATTAGGGTCACTAAGGTCATCAATAGGGTCACTAAGGTCATCATTAGAGTCACTAAGGTCATCATTAGAGTCGCTGAGATCATCATTAGAGTCACTAAGGTCATCATTAGGGTCACTAAGGTCATCATTAGGGTCACTAAGGTCATCATTAGAGTCGCTAAGGTCATCATTAGGGTCACTAAGGTCATCATTAGTGTCGCTAAGGTCATCATTAGAGTCGCTAAGGTCATCAATAGGGTCACTAAGGTCATCATTAGGGTCACTAAGGTCATCATTAGAGTCGCTAAGGTCATCATTAGGGTCACTAAGGTCATCATTAGAGTCACTAAGGTCATCATTAGAGTCGCTGAGATCATCATTAGAGTCACTAAGGTCATCATTAGGGTCACTAAGGTCATCATTAGGGTCACTAAGGTCATCATTAGAGTCGCTAAGGTCATCATTAGGGTCACTAAGGTCATCATTAGTGTCGCTAAGGTCATCATTAGAGTCGCTAAGGTCATCAATAGGGTCACTAAGGTCATCATTAGGGTCACTAAGGTAATCATTAGAGTCGCTAAGGTCATCATTAGAGTCACTAAGGTCATCATTAGGGTCACTAAGGTAATCATTAGAGTCGCTAAGGTCATCATTAGAGTCGCTAAGGTCATCATTAGAGTCACTAAGGTCATCATTAGAGTCACTAAGGTCATCATTAGAGTCGCTGAGATCATCATTAGAGTCGTTGAGGTCATCATTAGGGTCACTAAGGTCATCATTAGGGTCACTAAGGTCATCATTAGGGTCACTAAGGTCATCATTAGAGTCGCTAAGGTCATCATTAGGGTCACTAAGGTCATCATTAGTGTCGCTAAGGTCATCATTAGAGTCGCTAAGGTCATCAATAGGGTCACTAAGGTCATCATTAGGGTCACTAAGGTAATCATTAGAGTCGCTAAGGTCATCATTAGAGTCACTAAGGTCATCATTAGGGTCACAAAGGTAATCATTAGAGTCGCTAAGGTCATCATTAGAGTCACTAAGGTCATCATTAGGGTCACTAAGGTCATCATTAGGGTCACTAAGGTCATCATTAGAGTCGCTGAGGTAATCATTAGAGTTGCTGAGGTCATCATTAGAGTCGCTAAGGTCATCATTAGGGTCATTAAGGTCATCATTAGAGTCGCTAAGGTCATCAATAGGGTCATTAAGGTCATCATTAGAGTTGCTGAGGTCATCATTAGAGTCGCTGAGGTCATCATTAGAGTCGTTGAGATCATCATTAGTGTCATTAAGGTCATCATTAGAGTCGCTAAGGTCATCATTAGAGTCGCTAAGGTCATCAATAGGGTCACTAAGGTCATCATTAGGGTCATTAAGGTCATCATTAGAGTCGCTAAGGTCATCAATAGGGTCACTAAGGTCATCATTAGGGTCATTAAGGTCATCATTAGAGTCGCTAAGGTCATCATTAGGGTCATTAAAGTCATCATTAGAGTCGCTAAGGTCATCAATAGGGTCATTAAGGTCATCATTAGAGTCGCTAAGGTCATCAATAGGGTCATTAAGGTCATCATTAGAGTCGCTAAGGTCATCAATAGGGTCATTAAGGTCATCATTAGAGTTGCTGAGGTCATCATTAGAGTCGCTGAGGTCATCATTAGAGTCGCTAAGGTCATCAATAGGGTCACTAAGGTCATCATTACGGTCATTAAAGTCATCATCATTAGAGTCGCTAAGGTCATCATTAGAGTCGCTAAGGTCATCAATAGGGTCACTAAGGTCATCATTAGGGTCATTAAGGTCATCATTAGAGTCGCTAAGGTCATCATTAGGGTCATTAAAGTCATCATTAGAGTCGCTAAGGTCATCAATAGGGTCATTAAGGTCATCATTAGAGTCGCTAAGGTCATCAATAGGGTCATTAAGGTCATCATTAGAGTTGCTGAGGTCATCATTAGAGTCGCTGAGGTCATCATTAGGGTCACTAAGGTCATCATTAGAGTCGCTAAGGTAATCATTAGAGTTGCTGAGCTCATCATTAGAGTCGCTAAGGTCATCAATAGGGTCACTAAGGTCATCATTAGGGTCACTAAGGTCATCATTAGAGTCGCTGAGGTCATCATTATGGTCACTAAGGTCATCATTAGAGTCGCTAAGGTAATCATTAGAGTTGCTGAGCTCATCATTAGAGTCGCTGAGGTCATCATTAGGGTCATTAAGGTCATCATTAGAGTCGCTAAGGTCATCATTAGGGTCATTAAGGTCATCATTAAGTCGCTAAGGTCATCAATAGGGTCATTAAGGTCATCATTAGAGTCGCTAAGGTCATCAATAGGGTCACTTAGGTCATCATTAGGGTCATTAAGGTCATCATTAGAGTCGCTGAGGTCATCATTAGGGTCACTAAGGTCATCATTAGAGTCGCTAAGGTAATCATTAGAGTCGCTAAGGTCATCAATAGGGTCACTAAGGTCATCAATAGGGTCATTAAGGTCATCATTAGAGTTGCTGAGGTCATCATTAGAGTCGCTGAGGTCATCATTAGAGTCGCTAAGGTCATCAATAGGGCACTAAGGTCATCATTACGGTCATTAAAGTCATCATTAGAGTCGCTAAGGTCATCATTAGAGTCGCTAAGGTCATCAATAGGGTCACTAAGGTCATCATTAGGGTCATTAAGGTCATCATTAGAGTCGCTAAGGTCATCATTAGGGTCATTAAAGTCATCATTAGAGTCGCTAAGGTCATCAATAGGGTCATTAAGGTCATCATTAGAGTCGCTAAGGTCATCAATAGGGTCATTAAGGTCATCATTAGAGTTGCTGAGGTCATCATTAGAGTCGCTGAGGTCATCATTAGGGTCACTAAGGTCATCATTAGAGTCGCTAAGGTAATCATTAGAGTTGCTGAGCTCATCATTAGAGTCGCTAAGGTCATCAATAGGGTCACTAAGGTCATCATTAGGGTCACTAAGGTCATCATTAGAGTCGCTGAGGTCATCATTATGGTCACTAAGGTCATCATTAGAGTCGCTAAGGTAATCATTAGAGTTGCTGAGCTCATCATTAGAGTCGCTGAGGTCATCATTAGGGTCATTAAGGTCATCATTAGAGTCGCTAAGGTCATCATTAGGGTCATTAAGGTCATCATTAGAGTCGCTAAGGTCATCAATAGGGTCATTAAGGTCATCATTAGAGTCGCTAAGGTCATCAATAGGGTCACTTAGGTCATCATTAGGGTCATTAAGGTCATCATTAGAGTCGCTGAGGTCATCATTAGGGTCACTAAGGTCATCATTAGAGTCGCTAAGGTAATCATTAGAGTCGCTAAGGTCATCAATAGGGTCACTAAGGTCATCATTAGGGTCACTAAGGTCATCATTAGAGTCGCTGAGGTCATCATTAGGGTCACTAAGGTCATCATTAGAGTCGCTGAGGTCATCCATAGGGTCACTAAGGTCATCATTAGGGTCACTAAGGTCAACATTAGGGTCACTAAGGTCATCATTAAGGTCGCTAAGGTCATCATTAGGGTCACTAAGGTCATCATTAAGGTCGCTAAGGTCATCATTAGGGTCACTAAGGTTATCATTAGAGTCTCTAAGGTCATCATTAGGGTCACTAGGGTTATCATTAGAGTCTCTAAGGTCATCATTAGGGTCACTAAGGTGATCATTAGAGTCACTAAGGTCATCATTAGAGTCAAAGGTGATCATTAAGGTCGCTAAGGTCATCATTAGGGTCACTAAGGTTATCATTAGAGTCTCTAAGGTCATCATTAGGGTCACTAGGGTTATCATTAGAGTCTCTAAGGTCATCATTAGGGTCACTAAGGTGATCATTAGAGTCACTAAGGTCATCATTAGGGTCACTAAGGTCATCATTAGGGTCACTAAGGTCATCATTAAGGTCGCTAAGGTCATCATTAGGGTCACTAAGGTTATCATTAGAGTCTCTAAGGTCATCATTAGGGTCACTAGGGTTATCATTAGAGTCTCTAAGGTCATCATTAGGGTCACTAAGGATCATTAGTCACTAAGGTCATCATTAGGGTCACTAAGGTCATCATTAAGGTCGCTAAGGTCATCATTAGGGTCACTAAGGTTATCATTAGAGTCTCTAAGGTCATCATTAGGGTCACTAGGGTTATCATTAGAGTCTCTAAGGTCATCATTAGGGTCACTAAGGTGATCATTAGAGTCGCTAAGGTCATCATTAGGGTCACTAAGGTTATCATTAGAGTCTCTAAGGTCATCATTAGGGTCACTAAGGTGATCATTAGAGTCACTAAGGTCATCATTAGGGTCACTAAGGTCATCATTAAGGTCATCATTAGAGTCGTTGAGGTCATCATTAAGGTCGCTAAGGTCATCATTAGTCAATATAAGTCAGTATGGGGACATACAGTATTTGGGTCGTTAAGGTCATTAATGTGACCTTGTTCAGTTTCATTTCTTCTGTGAACTTCAGCTGAATGAACTGAACGAACTGAACGAACTGAATGAACTGAATGAACTGAACGAACTGAATGAACTGAACCGTTTCCTGATCAAAATGTTTCTTTTCACTAATCTGTTGATCACCTTCAGTAATGAAACCGTAATCAGGAGAGGACCAAACCACAGCTTTGTGGCTCTCCGCTATGGACACAACCTGATTGGTTGATGGGGTCTACACTGTAAAATATGATGGTTGTCAAACTGATAAATGCAACAGGTTGGATTTCCAGGCTGTTTTTATTGAAAATAGTGTTTTTTGTGCCCATTTTAAAATATTCTGCTCAGTTGGACTTTGCTTTGGATCGGAGTTTAATAACAGCATGTTAGATTATTTCTCCTGTTAATGGACAGGCAGTTATGAGACGCGTCTCTCTGGACCTGCTACCTGTCCGACCCTCCAGGTGTATCCGGTCGGCTCTTCCTCCGCCCGCTCTCTCGCTGTCAGGCGGCTAAGTGCTAA